AGAGAAAAATTACGCCCACGCCCAACAAGACTGCGAAGGAGGCTACTTCCAACCAACTACACCTTCAATGTTGCCTAACAGTTGCGTCATGCAGCCTAGCCTCAAATTTAGTCTCCACTGTGGCTCTTTTATGTCTGACGTCTATTTTATACTGGCAGGTTTTGACGTACTGTTTTTGGAGGCTAACTAAGGTTATTCATCACAACACGAATGCAGTTAGAAAGTAGCCTCTACCAGGATTGGGGAGGCGGCTGGAATAGTAGAAAGCGGTCAAATAGAGAGATATAAAGCAGGAGTTTGTCCGTTGAGAGCCTGCCGAGAAAAATACTGAACATTTCGCCGCGATGTTCTCTTAACGGACCAACTCCCCTGGCATGTTATCTCTATATTTGACCGATTTCTAGTCTTTCCAGCCGCCTCCAAGCCTGGTAGAGGCTAGTTGGAATGCAGTTCATGTTTTTAGAAAGCACAGCACTATCAAAAGACTCGTAGAAGAGGTTTTGGGTCGCTGACGAGAGACCAGGTGACTGACTGTTGACCGATCGGTCATTCATCCCCAAGTGGACGTGTGTTTTTTTGTAGGCCTATTCACTCAATCTCTGTATACAGTGTAGCCACTGGTAGCTATCAAACAATTTGAAAATCATCGCTTCATTTTCGATACCATGTTTGTGTTTTACCTCCCCCCACAACAAAGAGAGAGAGCGGGAGAGAGAGGGGGAGAGAGAGAGAGGAGGGAGAAGAAAGAAGAGAGACAGAGAGACAGAGAGACAGAGAGAGAGAGAGAGAGAGAGAGAGAGAGAGAGAGAGAGAGAGAGAGAGAGAGAGAGAGAGAGAGAGAGAGAATTGCGCTCTCGTCGCCTCATTTATGCCTCTATATCTAGTGAAACAGTCCAGTTCCGTAGCCAAAATTCATATCGTGGCGCTTTGACCAACTGACGTCACGTATCCCGAAGTTCAATGCGCCTAAGGAAAGTGGGTCAAATACTCCCTACCTGATGCGATGATAATGATGATTTGGACACGACCGCCGGATTTGCCGAAAGACAGTACTCTCCAAGCAGAGGTTGTGGGGAATGATCGTTACCTTTTTATATATGGCCGTTTTTTTGTCCTGATCCCCACCAACCGTCGGTGGCTTCGGAGCTTCTCTGGCTAATGGACACTGCCTGGCCAATTTGATACTGTCTTTTTGCCACCGAGAGGGATCTGCTTGGAGATTAGAAAGACAGGATAATTAGGACAAACTCGAAGACGAAACAATTCCTACCTTATGGTCACAAGGAAAGATTTCACAGGCCAGTCTACAAAGCTTTCACCTTTTCAATATATGAATATTTTTATACTATAAGAAGCGTCTTTATCTGATGCGAGGCGTCACTTGTTGAAGATAGTGATGTCTATTTTTAACACGGGCATGCTACAACTAGAACGTAATCTCCAAGCAGATCTTTTGGTGACTGTTTCAAGATCTTTCAAACTGGCAAGGCAGTATCATTGACAGGGTAGTATCCACTGATAGCCTGGGTGCCATCCGATTTGTAACGGCAACCCCGAAAACAATAGCCTGGGTATCATAAGTTCTTGTATGCCGGGGCTCCCACACTCGATTTTTTTAGGGAAGCGAGTGTGGGAGCCCCGGCATACAAGTAGGATGGTACCCAGGCTATATTTTTTCGGGGTTGCCGTCACAAATTGGATGGCACCCAGGCTAAGTATCCAATACTGGCCACCCGAAGTTTGGCTGGCGAAAAAAAGAAGACACCAGTACAGAAGGGAACGCCCGATAAAAGCGCCAAAAATAAACCGAAGCCTAATTTTTTAAGCTCTGCTTGGAGACAATGGGAAGTGCTAGTCTCCACCAGACTCCTTTGTAGGCTAAATAAACAGTAGAAATCGGCCTAAAAAGGGATAATTGGCCAGAGGAGTTGGTCGGCAAGAGAGGGTCCATTTGCCTGACTTTCTTTGGCCGGCCAACTCCTCTGGCCAATTAAATCCCCTAGCTTTTAGGCCGATTTCTACTATTTATTCAGCCTGCAAAGGAGTCTGGTGAAGACTAGGGAAGTGCCGTGAGAGTGTAATCCAGATTTGTGGTGAAAACCATTGCATTTCTTCCATCTGTTTTCCTCATGTGGTTTCTGAAAGCGTAATCTCCAAGTAGATGTCTGGGTCTGACTACTAGTAAGTGTATAACGTATTTTTTATAATTTTGTATTCCTTATTCTATTGCTACGTCCGCCATCTTTCCCTTTTAATAGAACAACTAAATATCATATGATTTTTCATTATCATGATTCAGTTCATACAATCCAGTGTAATGCAGTCTATAGAGATGAAAACGCCTTTCAAAACATATCTTTCTAGACTAGTTTGTATTTTGTCGCTATAAATGGTTGACTTCCTAAAAGAAAACAGCCACGCTGTCTGAAATTCAGTGTAATGCGTCGTATTTTGTCCCCATAATTTTTGACTTTCAAAAAACGCTCCGAAAGTTAGTGTACAATATACGTTGTTAATGAATCAATGTATTTGTAGCCTCCTAAACAATTTTATATGCCAAGTTTACTGCGTACTACTCGACTTGCCAACCTAAATGGGACCGAGCCGCGTCTATTTTTAGCACGCCGACCTTCACGCTGATTGGCCTGGGCGGGTCACGTGAGCGAGTCTCTTTTCTAAACAAAGGTGTTTGAATGTGGGCAAGATGGCGGAGGCTGTGTCGGAGCTACGGTGATATCACGCAGAAATCCGGCCGGACTGCGATCCACAGAGCCCCGAACGACGCGACAAGCCTGCGGATCGGCTCTGAACACCCTCCCCTCCGTCGGTAAGTTGCGATCGGCGCGGCAACTCGCCCGTGCGGGCCGTATTTGTTGATTTTCGCATGTACACACACACCCGCGCTACCCTCGGTCGATCGGGCGTACTTGCAGTGACGGCCAGGCTTCCAGCGGCCGCGGTTTGCGTAGGTGACTTGCCTACTAAACAGCCTGTGCGTTCTTCCTCCCGTCCTAGCACCTTCAAGCGAGCTCTTCGCGGTGTCAAAGAAGTAAAACCGTGCCGAATTAGCCTGTAAACCCGAGCGATCGTTGAGATTTTTAAACATTTAAAATCCGCCATAGCCCGGAAAGAGGGATTTTCTCCACTAGGAGGTGTGGCAAGAAGACGACTGCAGGCAACGAAAAGAAAAATCTGGCCGGCGATTTTTTTTTTCCTTTCGCGTTGGGACAGGGCAGGTAGAAATCTGTACGCGATTGATCGAATGTGCTGGCTGCTAAAAATACCCAAGTGGGTTATAGTCATTGATGTTTTTAGTACGGGAGCATTGGAAAGATGTGTTTATGTGTGCCAAGGCGGTGATCAGTTTGGCTCTAGGTCAACGGTTCGATTTTCTGCAACTTACGGTGTGCACAAGAAAAAAACAACGAATCTTCTACGAACAATCTAGGAAGGGTGTATTTGATAGTCCCTAAGTACTGTCGACAACATATTTGGACAGAGAAAGAGTAAAGGAGTATTGTGTATTGTCTGGTTTCTTGAAAATCTGCAGTCGAGAATATTATTGACGTGTCTTAAATATTTACCTCTTTTCTTAGCAGACATCGACGTTCCTCATTATAGTATCTCGCCAGCCTGAAAATGTCAATCAGATGTAAGTAATTCAATATGGGAAGAAAAGGAATGATATGGTGGTGTAGACTTTGGTTGAGTTTTTCTCTTGTCCATGAAAATCGACACGTCCTAAGTGTTTACTAATTTTCTGGATGTCAAAAACATAATTTTGATTTTACACTCACTAGTTTTGAAAATGTCTGACCAATCTTTAATTTCATGAGGAAAATAAAGAAAGGCAGGAAGAGGTACAGACATCACACGTTTCTAATTAATTAAGGTTGCTTTTCAGATGTTATCAAATGTGTTGTTGAGAATTATACAATGAATATTATTATGTTATATTATGGTCATGTTGTTATGAATATCTTAATGTTTGATGATGAAAAATTGAAAATCTATAACTTGTGTTATGTGGTGTAGTTTTCAGACATTTCGTTGTTGCTTACTGTTTGCAAATGAATTCACAAAAACTGTAGGTACCTCCCGGAGGTTTAAATCTCCGATATCTTTTTTTTTAGCATCTGGTAGAGCCTAACATTCTGTTCAAATGAGATGATTCATGTATCTACTACTAGAAACAGGCCAGGAAATTGCTTGAGGCTCTCGACTTGGTAGGAACAAAAAGGTGTGTGGGTGTTTTGGAGTCCCACATGGATATTGATAATATGATTTGAAAGAAAGGTATCTCAGCCGACCCCTTACACCCCCTCGCCTCTTTTCATGTACACTCACGACTCTCTGTATTGCTTTCCGTTTAAATTAATGTTTACCGGAAGTGTTTTGCCAGAAAGTGGATAAGTAATATCTAGCCTAGATTATATTAATTTGTAGCCGCGGGCATTCAAACTAGAAGTATGACGTTTGTAGCTAATTTCGATAAGAATATAAATAGTAAATTGTTAGGTTTAAGAGTTCAGTCGTGATATTTGGATCAAGATGCTTGAAGTTGATGTAACATTTGGTAGCAAAATTAGGAATACATTCAGTACTGTTGTCCCTTAATTTCTGGTGGTAACAATAAATGCATGCAAGTTGTTAACCTCTAGTATACATGGTTGTATTAATGTAAGATCCATTTTTTGCTGCATTTTTGCATCTGGGCATTCAAACTAGAACTTAGTAGAAGTACATGTTTGCAGCTAATTTCGATAAGAATATGAATAGTAAATTGGTTGCTTGATAGTTGAATCGTGATATTTGGATGAAAGGTTCTTGACGTAACATTTTGCAGCAAAATTAGGAATACAGGTTCTAGATAGCAAAACCTTGCTAATTTTTTATGTTTAGAGTACTCATTACCTTCGCCAAGAAGGTTATGTTTTCAGTGGCGTTCGTGTATGTGTGTGTTTGTGTGTGTGTGTGTCTGTCTGTAAACAGGATAACTTGAGAAGGCCTTGATGGATTGTCTTGATACTTGGTAGGTGGGTAGGTCTTGATGAGACCTCAAAATGATTAGATTTTGGACCCCCTAGCGGCTTGTTATGGTACTGCAGCTGAACTTCCGGTTTTGATATCTCATGATCTAAATATGCTAGGGTGACGAAATTTGGATGGTAGGTAGGTCTTGTGCTGGGGAAGAAGTGACTTGAGTTTGGGCCTCCTAGCGACTTGCTTTGGAACTGCAGGACTATATGTTTGAAAATATTCAACTCAATATAACTCAAGAACCGGTTGATGGATCGTCATGATTTTTGGTATGTAGGTAGCTTACGTGATGCTTGATAAAATAATTTGACAATTATGCAAATATGGATGTAATTTGCATAATTTATGGGGAAATTCTATAAATCAGCTTCATTCCATGATAGGACAATTGAAGCTTGTGACATTGGTAATTGAGAACGAGAGAAACATAGACAGATATTGATTATGTAAATGAGGACTTAATTTGCATAATTAATGAGAAAATTTTATGATTATGTAATAATAACTGCCTGGAATTTCATACTTGTGGTATTTGAAAGTTAAGTGAAGGTGAACATCATTAAGCATAATGTATTCCAATCATGACCTCATTTGCATAATTTATGAGGAAATGCTAGAATGGCATTGTTTGTTAATATAAGACTGTCTTTTGGTTGAGAATATGATGATATAATTCATGAAAATTAGGATCCTATTTGTTAAATCGGGGGAATTCATAATCTATAATTTGTCAGTCATAAAGATTAACATCATTTGGCGAAGGTATGAGATCGGGGAACTCTAGTTTTAGTATGCTTTTGTTGAGTTGGCAAACCTGAACAATCAATACTATTGTCCCTTAATTTTCAGTGGGAACATTAAATGCATGCAAGCTATATATAAACAAGCCAGCTTCTAGTATACATGGTTGTATCAATGTAAGATCCATTTTTCTGTTGCATTTTTGCACCCTGCAAATTTGCTATATGTATTGGCATAGAGTTGGTTAAGCCTATTGTGTAAAAAACCCCCAGAAAATTGACAAGCAAAATGTTTCTTGTCTCTGTACCATATTGGCATTTGCTATTCTTCAAAGTAAGTACTTGTACCTTAAGATATGCCCATAAATGATCGATGTATGCACCATTATTGATTGACTTTTTGGGATGACTCAGCAACATAAGAAATATAATTAAATCACATTTGAGACTGGGGAAAATTTAGGTTGCCCAGTACAACTTGTGGTTGCAGTTTGCAGTTTCCCAACATCTCAAAACGATCAATATCGTTGTACGTAATGTATATGTTGATACACCTTACCCATAATATCCTGTTTTGATGTTACAGTGTTATGCAATAAACACTAGTATTGGAGGTTTATTTTACACAATGGAAAGTGTTTTAAGCATGTTTGTTGCACGTTGCTGTCAAGAAAGATACTTTTCCGGTCTGAAAAAATAAAGTTTGGTTGCTCATGATGCAACCTGCATTTGCATTTGGCTTCTTCAAATAAAAATTGGTTGCCCAAGGAGCTTAACTGCTAAACAATTAGAATGAGATGTTTACATTTTAATGCGCATATTTAAAAAAAAATGTCTCGACATACACAAATGTGATCGGATGTTAGGGACATGTAAGTAGTAATTTTCAGAATAATCATGAAATGAATTTTTTTTTCCTGAAACTTTGTCCTGTTGAATTTGGGTCACACTCCTTAACTTTTGATAAATTGTAATTTTAGTTAATATATAATATATAACGACTGACCGAAGTATATTTAAAGTTGCGCTGAAAAAGTTTTAAACAAAGCTTTCGACACTAGAACAGGCCGGATATCTGTTTGTGGCCTAAAATATTCAATCAATTCCTCAATCAATCATCTTTATTTAGACCAGATTGCTATATTGGCCTAAGCTGACCTCTCTAGAACCAGTCAAAGGTCAAAGGTTAGCATAAGAATATTTCAGTTTGTACAAAATTACATGAATATTATGGTACTTACACATAGATAAAATTCAATATTTTAAACTAGCGCACTTTACTTCCAAAGACAATGGTCGATATGTTGTTTTAATTTTTTATATGTCTTTATTTAATTTGTATCACTTGAAGTTTTCAAGTTGTTATGGTGGATATATCTCTAGGTTATGGGTTCAATCCCTGGCTAGACGTTTTGTCCTTTGGAAAGGCAAGTTTTAGATGACATTCCTTACTCCACTCAGTTGTAAAATGGGTACCTGACTTTGGCTAGGTAGTAGGTATGTAAAACTAAAAGGCGGTTGTCGGAGAGGGATGGGCTCCACCTTGCAATACTGTGCCCTGCACTATAGCTAGCTAGACACAGTGGATCAACAACCCATTGCCTCGAAACTGCCACGAGACCTTTTTCCCAACCTTCACCTTGCTTCTTAACCTCATATTCATAACCCATGCAAATTTGGTGCAAAAGTTCCCTTAGCAGGATAAAGGCAGGTTAAAAAATTTACGCTATTCTTCTTGGATAGTTCGGTGGGTTCTTTGGTGTCCATGTGGAGCATACTGTAATTCACTTTATGTTCACGGTAGCAAAAGTTCACAGTCTGAGAAAACATGTTCATGGAACTATGTATTCACGGTGGTGACAGGTGCAGGAAAGAGAAAATCCAGGAATTATTTGTTAACTGTAATGATAAGTTCACGGTACAGAAGTGACGGTGAAAACAGTGAACATAAAAAAATTAACAGTACAGTGAAAAAATCAGGAATTACAGTATCTGTAATTGCCACTTACAAGATGTTCCTTTTCAAAAAGACTGTTATCTACAAATA